GTAAACCAACTAAAAATATTTCTGGTTTAGAGAAGAACCATCTCAAGTCATCTATCTCAAACCGTCTCATCTGCTCCAACTATCACGATCACCAAAACCGAAACCGAGCACCGAATTACAAGTTTTGCTTTATGTGATTAAAGTGAACGAAAATAATTTGTTAAGCTTATTCTCTCTCCGCGGCTTACGTCACGTATAGGCTAACCCCTTCCGCGCTATCCTCCGCCCCTTCATCTTTTTTATCCGGTCTTTGTGTCGTCCTCTTCTGGCTCCTCGCCGTCCTCTTCCGGCCCGTCGCCCTCGTCTTCCGGACCGACGTCCCCTTCTGGTCAATTCTGGACCTGGTTCTGGACCTGGTTCTGGACCTGGGTTTCTGATCATATCACTAACCTCCTTGATTCGTTTTCAATGGTAATGACGCTCGATTGTCAAAATTGGAATTTCGCGTATATAACTAATTCTGATCATTATCTTCGTTATCAAAAGGCCAACAAACTTGCTCTCGGGGGTGCATTTTTGATTGTAGGTCTATACTAATCTAGTATCTAAATATTTTCATACAACAAACCGCTAATTATTATTATTATTATTAATATTTTTATTATTCATAATAGAGCGCATATCAAATGGTTTGGTGGCTAGGCGTTAAATTTGAGGGGATTGATGAAAAGTTCGAGGAGATTGGTGAAATATTCGATAAAACCAATAAAAAAATAGATCGGGCATACCGTATTATAACGAAATAAGTGTCATAGGATCGTAGGTATACAGTACGAACGCTCATGAAGCAATAAAGGCCCCCAGCAAATGCTAAATTCTGAACTTTAGAGAGACGGAGTAGCCACCTAGTAGATAGTAGATATCATGCTTTATAAATGCGTATGTATACCTCGCCTGGTTACCTGTTGTTGTCTGTTTTAGTCACTCGCCGCAGTCTCTGTAACCAACTCGGCCTCTTCAGCTGTGATATCACACTATATTCCCACCCATCTCCATCTAATTCGACACCAACTTACCATCCCAACTGCAATATCGTAGGGCTTCGAATTACGGCTAAAACAACCACCTACTTACCTAGCTATTCATCGATTCGGAAACGACCCGCGAAGACTACCAGTGACGCTTCGAAATCCTACTACCAAGGTTTCCGACTATCCCGATTTATTCAACATGTCTGGTGTCAAGGCTCTTCTTATGAGCATCTTCTACACGCGCGCTACACTATAGCTAACCGACACAATATTTCCAATGGCTCTCCAATATTCAAAACGCTGGAGGAGGAGGCTAACCGAGGTTAGTGGGCACACATACACTTACAGTCCGCCCAGATCACCAACCCGAGCTGACAAGACTTGAATTTACAGAATATTTACGTAACGACGAAGAGCTAATATTTGGGTGACGGAAGAAACTTACAAAGTGGAAAAACTTTGTCATTTTGATGATGCTTGCCACTGTAGTTACTCCTGGTCCTACAAATTACCTCTATGGTCGCTATTCGCTGGGTGAAGAACGACCGGGGTAGAGAGCAATAAAGGTATGTCGGGAAGACCAACTATACTGTCACGATATTCAATTTCCGTCTTTTCTAGCGGCCTATTACTGCTATTCTTGGCGGAGTATTGCGATTTCCTGGAGGGTAACTATCGCACCAAGCTAGCAACTGAGGTAATGATCAAGAAACCCCCGCATAGCTAACTCGATATATTTCTCCCTTTTGGATCATCTCAGGAAACCGCGCAGTCAAAAGGATCTCATCTCATAGGAACTCTGGTTACTACTTCGATACTTGCAACCTTAACGGCAATATGCCAAATAATGGTCGAATAATATCCCGAATCGCTAGAAAGGACAGGAACGGAGTTGTCAAAATCGGTATGAGACGAAGCTATAACCTCACATCAGTCGGTCTTCGGGTTTACTAATCGAATTGTCAGGTCCTGTCAACGGAAATTGCTATCAAAAAGGTGGAATTGGTAGAAAAGAGCGTGGAGAAGGTGGAGAAGGCCGGACGCCTCGATTCCATGGAGGCCATGGTGATAGCCCAAACGAGGCTTATGAGGGAGCTGCAACAACGTCTCGAATCGGGTAGTGTGATTTTGCCCTTAGAGAAGTTGAAACTCGACTAGTTGCTAGAGTACCAGATAGCGCTATTGCCTCGAGGGTTCTACGTTGATACTGGACAAACCCGCATACTATAATATTATAATATTATCCTGCTTCCAAATCTAGATAGGCTATAGGCCCGCGGATGAATCCGCGAGTACGATGAACTCCACGAACACATTTTTCCTTTCGGTTTTCTTTTTCCTTGCTGCTGTACTTCGATACCATTCTCTTCGATCAATAGTAATAACACTCACTGTGAAAGCGCATGATTTTAGGCGCAAGTTTGCAGCTTTTATTGTCAAACAAATCTTTTGATAGAACGAAGGATGAGTGAAGAAAGAAGAGAGGATGGGAAACTGCTAAATAAATTAATGTAGAAACAAAAATCGATTAAGATTATTAGGGATATTCGTCACACCCCTGATAGCTTTATAACCAAAAAGTCAAAAATTATAAAACAAAGAATAAGTTGTGGCTATCGCAGCACTTATCAATGCAAACAGAGAAATTGGTCTTATAGGGGTGCTTTATAGGTTAATTATCGAAGCAGTTTATAAAAAGAACTTCGAAGACGCACGATCGTCCTCCGGCCTGATGGGTTAAACTCCTGGCTAAAATATAAATAAGCTATTAATTAGCTATTGGCCAAAACATAAACAGGTCACTAGTCAAAACATAAATAGACTACTAAACAAATTTTAAGCAAATTAAAGGGCTAAATCGGCTAGGAATTAAAAATCAAAAACTACGCTTGTGGATAAAGCATGACGACGGTGCAATATAGGGACGCTAGGTTCCCAACCTGATAGAACGGAGGATGAGTGAGGAAGAAAGAGAGGCCGACGGAATACCACAATATATCGATAGAAACCAACAGAGGCTATTAGAGACGTCTGTCACTAGTAGGTATTGTGGGTTACCTTTATCGTAGCTATGAAAAACAGATTCGAGATATTGTGCCGGGGTGGTCCGGGGGCTAGTCTCAGGTTCCAGAATTCTAGGATCCAATATTCTAACTTAAGAGGTAACTATTGGTTCTATCGTGATAGATATCTCCCTTGACCTCTATTTTTTTTATTTATTGCGGCGTTCTTCTCATTCTTTGTTATTTCTTTTTTTAATTACTGTTTCTTGTATCAGCTGATCATGTTTTGGATTTGGTGTCCCCATATGCATAGCATCATTTCATTTTCCTTGTAGGTTGCTTGCTTTAATTAACTCTTGAAACTGTTGCTTTAACTCTTGAAGTTGCCTCCATTTTAACTATTGAATCTATCTATGTTTTGGCTGTTTGTTTGTTGATATCCTGATTGTTAACGTAGTATTTTACCTATTGGATCCTTTAAATTATATAAAGTATTTTGTATGGCGGTTTAACAGCCCGTTGGATCGTTTTTGTTTTTAAATTCCCTTGATGAGCTTGAACAGATCTACAACTAAAACTATAATTCATGTATGTCATCTCCAATTCTCCAGTCATAAAGCTCCTCGGGGATGATAAAATACCCTATCAATATTCATCTATATTAATGACATTTCACTGGCCTCTCTTCTTTCTCCACTCATAATTTTTTATATTACGGAACTACCGCTGCTCTGGTACCATGATTTCTTCTAGATTATATAAAAAAGGTCATACATAAGTATTAATATTAGAATCCGCACGGCCATCGAGAGCCTCCCCATAATATAGGTTACCTGTCGGCTATACATCATTCATCTTTAAAATGTACTCGAGTCGGTTATTTAACTTTCCTAACAAGTGAGTGGTATTTACCTCTGGACAATTATAAAAGCGCTCACGATGAAATCCTGACACACTTTGGAGGTTAACGAGTCCGTCAAAATCAAACAAAATTTTCAAAAAACAGCAATAGGAAAGGTCTACCAAGATATCTTAATATGCTTATGCACCAAAGCAACCGCCAAGAAACGGGTACAGAAATAGACGAAGAATTTGACAAGGATCTAGGCGATGAAGCTCAAGACTATGACAGCTATATTGATAATTTGGTAAAGCAAGAATACTCTCCCGAAAGCGAGAAAGTTAGAGGTAGAGATAATGGTATGAAAATTGAGGAAGAGTCTCTTAAAAAGGAACAAAGTACAGCAGTGGAGCCGGAAGATTTCAGGACGGGCAGATATGAGCAAGATGCGATAAAAGTTGAAGCTGGTCCAACCGGTTTTGGGGTGGATTCTAGTCCTGCGGCAGGACTTTTGGATACGTCCCTCATAAATGCACATCTAGAAAAATTGCTTCCACAAATTCAAATAAGTGAGAATCCCTCGCTACCGGACTTTAGCGAGTCCATGAAGGATACAATCATTAAAGAAGAAAATTAGTTTGTACATGCAGGGTCTAAATAGATTGTAATATAGTAAAGATTCAAAAGTGAGAGAGATGCTAGCGCTAGTAATTAAATACAGCATTTACAGGCGTTCAAAACCCGTGAGTTTGACCATATGCATACTTGATTAGTTCATATCTTTAGTACTATAGTCTCAAAGCTGGTTGGCGAGCGCGAGAAGAGAATTTTCAAAAAGAACTGGATGACCAAACGCTCTTCGTGTAGACAGTCACTCCCGGCCCTCATCTTAAAACTAGACTAACATTCACTTTAAATTGGACAAACTAGTTAAGACCTGAACTATTCAGCGCCGAAACTCTCTGGGAATTGGAGGCTTCGGCTTGATTCTGCATCTCGAGTTCGACAATTGGAAAGGCAAGTTTTCCAAGCCTCGAGATCTCGAGACCAAGTTTTCCAGCAACACATATATTTTCCAACATGCAACCGCTAAAAAAGTTTTCCCAAAGCGTCGGGAGCTCCGCATTTGATGGTTGAAAACGCTAAAAAATTTCAAAAAGAAGACTCATCTTACTGGAAATGACTTTCCGATACCGGGAATCGAACCCGGGGCTGTCCGGACCATCTTAAGAGCAGAAGCTCTTAGTTGAAAGCGGACGATGTTAACCACTACACCATATCGGATGAGTGTTGATGAATTTGTCGGTAATGAATTTGCAATATTAAAGCATCTAGCAAAAGATACTTCGTTTGGTGCTGCCCGTTGACGAGTGGAATGAGGAAATCAAAGATGCGGCAACGATGCTGTTTTGCTATCCTTTAAACCATTACTTCATTAGTATTTGAATTATGACAGCTCCTACAATATATGAACACCACTGTGTGGTGGAAATTGATGATCGAAGTTAACATTCCTGCAGAAACTATTGATTATTAATACGACAGAGATAGATGTATTGAAGCACTAAATTTGCAGAGTGTGTAGCTTTGTAATTTATAATTTAGAAGGCGGGTTAGCCCCTTGTTTTGTTCATAAGAAGGATATAGAAGTAAATATTTACAAAGAAGGGAAACAAAAGCGACGGGCAAGCATATCAAGTATAATATGCTAGTAAGCCATCAACATAACCAAGACTGATCTAACAGATTTGGAGACTCTAGGCCCTTTTAACCTTAACTCTTGTGCATCTTTCATCGCTGACGCTTCCGTCAGCCCACCAAACGCTAGTATAGGTGTTTTCTTGGCCCTGTGGATAATTAGTTGGGCATGCCCACCAATTGCTCATCCCATCCAATGTTAGATATCCGAGATAGTCTAGCTGAAAGTCCTTCCAGGTTGTCAATGGTTCACCATTGTTAGATTCTGGTTGTTCAGTGGGTGGTGCGGGTGCACTAGGGGCAGCAGTTGCCGGTGCTGGTGGAAAGAACAAAGCTCTCATGTTGTTTCTGACATATTCTTTAGGTCCGAAGGCTTCGTCGTAACCGGCTGAGACAGGACCCTTGGGGCAAAGGAAGAACTTGCATTCTTCTGGTCTAGCGCCAGGGGTATAGATCAGTCTGCCGTGGGGAGGGAATCTCGGATCAAGGTTTGGGTCGTTATAGGTGATTTCAAAGTGAGGGTTCGGTTCCGTTGATGTCGCTGTTATGGCGAGAGTCTTGCCATTTACTGGGTTTGCGGGGGTTGGGTGGATGGTAAGATATTGCCCATGAAGACTATTTTATATCTGTTAGTTGCTTGATGCCTTCCCAAGAACTTTTTGCGGAAAAATAAAGTGCTTACTCAGTATCTGGAGCATCTAGCTGCAGAGAGAAGGGACCAGCGTTGATGAACCCAGGGATTTGGGGGGTAGGGAGAGAGCTGACGGCAGCAGTAAGAGCGGCAAGGACAATCGAGTACTTCATCTTGAAAATCGATGACTAAGAATATTCGAAATAAAATGAAGGTTACACAGCGGGCTGCAAGAAACAATCAGATCTAAGATAATAATCTTGAATGTTTTTAGCCTCTTTGGAAATCTGTGTTTTTATCCGAGAATAGACTTCAAGAAGTTGACCTTGGTCTCTAAAACTTATGAAAATGCGACGATCCAGTACGTTTATATCCCACCAATTCGAATTCCTACCCCTCTTTCATGCGCATGCAACCTTTTTGACTTCTACGCTAGTGACGAGCGGCGAAGTTACACCGAAATCTACCATCTGTTTTCAGCGGTCTAGAAGGTACGCCCGAGTCTTGGAATAATTTACCCACAATACGGTCATGGAAATGTAAGAAATGAACCCATGTCCCTGCATTGCTATCAACTCTGTTATGCGAACGCGTGTTGCTATGAAATATTCCAACAGGGCAACACCTCTATGCACCATCCAGTTTGGGCTATTCAATATCTTGGCTCGAGGGATTGGAAGCTGGAGTTAGGCTGTAAAGCGGTGATCCTAGTTAGTTGTGTCCGAAAGGCAATCGATTAGTTTTTGGGAGGAAGGTTCAGTTATCTATGCAGCAGCGAGGTTTGGGTCGGCTAGCCCAGCTTGCAGTATTGATTCACTTCGTGATCAGAAAATGTTTCAATGAGTACCAGACTTCGAAGATAGAACTATAGCGTTAGAAGCCTCGCATGAAGAATAGAATGTCTCAATATTCCCAGTGGCAATTTTAATAAGAGACTCAGGTAATCTGGGCGGCCAGCTTAGGTATCTGGGGATCTGTAAGACTTCATGTCTAAGAATGATCCCAAAATCCAAAATCCAACGTTACGTTAACTCTAGACGTATTCCTAGCAACTGCAGCTGCATGCGCAGCTGGAACCTATAATATGATCATGTGCACAACTAGTATAGTATGCTTTCGCCAACAAGCCAAAAATTATCCCGCAGGTCATGTCGGCTGCCTTGATTATTTTTCAGTTTGTAGTAGCATTTCGATCGTTCCATCGCCTCTGCCTAGGCCCCAAAATCTCTGGATCGATAGATAGATGCGAGTGTGAGGCAAAGTTTACCTCCGCCCCTCGCCTACATGTCTTATCTCGGTAGGTAGGCGATTTTCTGGTTTTAAAAACTATTGCGACACCCCCAGCCTCAATCCCTTCAAACCCGGCTTTCTTGCAGTATTTGGATCCGGGCCGAGGAAGCGGCGTGCATAACATTGCGTCCGCTGCCCCTCCAGCATACCGCCCAGGTAAAGGCAAACGCAGGAGTTCAATTAGACATCAAAACATCATACATACCTTGGAACTTTTTGAATCCGAAATGCGTTCCCGAACCAGGGGGACAATTGGGGCATAGAATATTTCGTGATAGGTCGGCAGCTTCCGTCTTACTCACACCTTCTGCTTCGACTTGTATTAAGATTGTGGCTGCCCCAAACAGGAAGGCGTCAACGTCTTCGCCAACACAATCCCAAAAGCTTGGTTACGTTGGGTAAGTGGCCACAAGACACATGCCTTTTTTCTAACAGGCGTAAGCCAGCATGTGAGTCTGCTTGTTTCGAACCGGTATGCGGTAATCAAATTGATCAGATAAAATTTAAGAAAATAGCATTGCCTGCCAACATTTTGGATGAAAAACAAACCGTCGGTAAGTCCGGTGCAGTGGCTAGTGAACGAAGCATCGAGGGCGAAACTTGCTAAATATTAATGGTGATCAATACAGCGATGAAAATTCTAGGGCTTAGTGTGTATAACCGTCTAGGTCTTGTCCTTGATTATATTATAGTACTATAATTACGGTCTATTTATTGACCACTAGATCTTATAGAATTCAGGTCTCGCGACTTTCGGTGTCTAGACGAGGCAGAGGGAGCTCGGGAACTCAACGGAGTCAATCTCATACGATTTTTTTTGTAATGAATGGACTAATCAGTTAGATATTTATAGGAGATCCTTTTAATCTCTTGAGAAATCGAATCAAGGTTCTTAGCAAGAAGTATAAGCTAGGCTGAGGGTCCTGGATCTAGATATCCTTTTCAAGAAGTCTTTGGCGTTAGCCTGTCCCGACGTTTAATTAATCTAGCGCAAACCGGGAATTCCAGATCTACAGAGTTATTCCCACGCGCACGCGCACCCTAATTTTGTAGTCTCAATATATTCGCAAACCAGGAACAGATCTAGACTACAAGCCCCACTTACAGAATGTGGATTTGATAATACGGCTTCTAATAAACTAATTATTGCAGAGATCCTACCAAGTTATCTTTATAGTTTAAGGCAATAGTCGGTACCATATAATTCATTCCTTGGTTCATTCATTGCTAGTCTTGAAGTCGGAACTATCCGAGTTCCAGAGTTGCCTTCTAGGTAAACAATAACGTTATAGATGACGTCAAATACCCCCCAGATTCAATTTAAAAGTGTCACTTTCTTCATCATTTTCATATTCAAAGTCTCCCTCGTACTGATCTCCATAGTCTATGCCAGTCTGAATCTGGATAACTTTGACCCAATCTTCGAAATCATCGGGATCCCATGCGTCCGATTCTCTGAAATGTGGCTCTCCTGCTTCAAACAAACGCCACAACCGGAGCAAACTTATTGTTGCCAACTGCCCCCAGATATCAGTTTGCACTTTTAGCAACTCCTTTTCGTGGCTACTATAGTTTATTTTCGAGGCCGCCTCTAATTGCTTTAGCTGGAAGCTGTACGAATCGACCGCGCCCTTGAAGTCTTGCAAAACATCGACATTTGTGTATTGGAAGAAGGTTCGGGGATCAAAGCTTTTGTCACCGGGCGATTTGGGTGATCCCGCGCCAGAGTTTGCTTGTGTCTGCATATCGTCGCTCTGCGAACTTAGGTCACTCCCAACAAAGTCCGACATTCCACCGGTACCGGTTGCTTCATCGATTCTCACTAGAGACCGTATCAATTCCTCCGGGCTTTTCGCAGCATAACAATGTATCTTGCGTCTAACAATGAATTCGTAGAGGCCACAAAGGCTTTGCTCCGGTAATGGTATGATAGAGATGCTGCCATATTCTTCGTCTCCTTCAAGATTTTCTAGGATTTCATGGGCGTTGAGAACGGCTGGAAGGAGTGTGCTTGAAAATATTTTAACCCAGCCGACATCTGACAATGAAGTGATGAACGAATCAAAATTTTCAGCGTAAAGTGTTTTCTGGCCGTTGCTTAATGAAGGACTGTGTTCTTCGAGTTCTTTTGGGCATACGGGCGATGAGAGAGTTGCTATAGCTCCTACAAAGAAAACGGATGCAAGGTAGACGAGGCGGAAGCTCATTTTGCAACAGAGGATGGCCGAGAGCTGATCCGTAAGGGACTCGTTTCGATACCAAAATCCTCAACTATAGTAGATGGTAGGGTGCACGTGTTTGAAACTACTAGAGATATACCCGTTCAGGCAGTATTTCAAATCGAAAAAGCCTTGTTTCTTATTATTTGATTGAGTGGCGATGATAAATATGTTAATGTCTAGACTGTAGCTTTAAGTGCTCAAAAGTCGCACCGGCCTCTATGATGTAGGCTTATGGCCCCAATATAACAGCGGAGGATTGAGAGATATCGAAAAAGGTTAGTACCATCAGCCCTCGCCTCTATGCCCCTAGTCATCGCCTAAAATGTAACCGAAACATTTTCTTGCTCAACTCCCTCGTTCCACATGACTATGGTCATTCGGTAAAGGCCCCGCGAGATATCCCAGTTTTTCCACCACCAGTCTTGGGGGTTCCTAACTCGCCA